CCATTTTAATTATATTAATTTTCTTCAAATGTGCAGAGGACTCCCCAAGTGCTGTGATGATTTATTTTAAAGTAGGCCTGTGTATTTTCTTTAATTCTCCTTATAAGAGTTCTTTGTTTATTATTAGAGGTAAACAGTTTGCTATAATGTAATACATAATAAATGCAAACAAACTCTAGTTTTTGTCTATGATGTAACAATATATACAACTTTATAAGCTATCAAGCTATCAAATATGTTTTTTCTGGCTCCAGACAAAAAAAAATGGTGTAAAAGGGGGCAAAATGGCTCTTTTGGTCAAAAAGGTTGCAGACCCCTGGCTTAGCCGATCTCCATTCAGAAAACACGCATTTTAAAAGGTTTTTCGCCTGCTGTCTTGTCTGAAGACTTGTCAAAGCACAATCCATGTTTTTTTTCTAACCGGTATCAGTATGTTGTTACTTCGGCATCATTTTGAAACGTGTATTACAATTAAATCACGGTAAAATATGTTCATTTTGTAGTTGTAGACCCCTTCCCAGCGATTCTCTCACTAGTTTAGCATATTCTGCCCGGTTGTTGGCCCGGAAAGAACCTGGATTTTGGAGAGCCAGAACTGTGAAAAAGTACCCGTGAGCCGGAACTATCCCTAGTGGAAACGCAACAAGAAACGGTCCGGGTTTGGCACTGCACGCTTAAACCGTGCTACGCGCTGCAGTGGAAATGCGCCATAAGTGACACAGCTTGTAAGCCTTTTCCTAGTCCAAAGGGTTGCATGCTTCATTAACTTGCTTTATTAAGTTCTTTACAACTGTGAGCATCTAAATTTAGTTCATGAAAGAAAAAAACAAACACTCTTAATCCAAGCCTCAGTGAACCCTTTCAACTGCACACCCTTCACCCTCCTCCTGCTCTTCTCGTGTCTTTTTGACTTCGATGTTTCACGTCTTGTTTGGTCTCGGAGGTGCAGGGGGCATTATTACAGTCATCATTTTCATTATAAGCAGTGGCGGTGTAGCAGAGGCTGCGGGGGTTTAATTGGCTGCTCCACTACAAGAGGTTAGCCTCATTTGCAGGCCTTGTTATCCAGCTTGTGTTTGTAATGTCAATGAGGGGAAGGTGTAACAAGGTTATCTGTTAGCAGATATTGCCAGAACAAACTGGACACATTGTGGTTACAGGCAAGCTAATGGATTAATTGACTGGCAGGTTTACTCTCAGGCAAATTCAAGACATTTTAACAGAGAGAAAAACATGCCTGGAAGTTGGGCCGGAAAATACGTTTTGATCAGTTATTTGACCAGTTGAAATGCCTCAAGTCTGCTTATGTAAATGAGTAACTAGCTAGTAAATAAGTTCTGCAATTAGATTACAAAATATATGAAATTAACTACAATTACCAATGAAAGTGTTGATGATTACAAAAAGATTAAATCCAAATGTATCCTTTCTTATTTCCTATCAATTTTTTCTACAAACAGCTGCGGTTGAAAAAAGGTTTATAGTAAATATACGTGATTCTGTGTTTAGGTTGTTTGCCAAATTTCCATTACATTTTTTCAGCCTCCATAGCGTTCCAATGTTTTTTGTTCTAAACTTACAGTTACTCATTGATAAATGTAGTCTTATATTCTCCATCTATGTTCAAACTATTTTCCTGTTTCAATAATATGTTGTATCTTGAATATTATATTAACATTTCATGATTTTCAGTTAATCATTTAATAATGATGATTGAACTCTTCCTGTGATCATGGTTTACACGTGATAAGCAATATGGACGCATATAATGAGCTCCAGCTGTGCGTAATGATGACTGTCCTGGTGCTGTTAAGGAATCTCTTGGAAGACCTTCTGGGACTTATAAATATGGAGGTTGTGGCTGACTGACTGACAGTGTGTGTGTGTGTGTGTGTGTGTGTGTGTGTGTGTGTGTCTCACCCCGATGTTTCGGTCCTCTTTGTACTGGAGGAAGGCGTTGGCTGT